CCAACATTGTGTTTATTGGCTTTCTTTCCTTTTTTCTTTTTGTTGCTTTGCTTGTGGATGATGAAGAAGAAATACGTCAAGTTCACATGATTATGAACTTGATTTTGACTTCCATAAATGGTTCACCTATAAAGATGAGGTAGTTGCATGTTCGTTTGTCAATGGGGCCAGCATGGCTTAACCTGGAGCCTGAGACCCGACCTTATGGTTTAAGTAATCAAAAGCATGTGTCCTGTACTTTGGGCCTGAAATTTTAAGTCAGGCTCAGTTCTTTGTCTATCTTGTCATGGAAGGATTAGAGATCAAATCTTTGCTTGTGTATTTGTCAGGCTTAGTATTAGAAGAGATAATTGGAGTAAGATCTTTGAAAATATAAAGCACAAAAACCACAATGAATCTGGATATCTAAAATGTTTAAATTACAGTTCTATGACTATCATTCTATCCAAGCCATTCTTTTTTCTTATCATAGTCTATTGTGTGCAATCATAATTACAAATGAATCTGAAGATTGATGAGAAACAAGTGCTTTTGAATTATAAAAGGTTTCTTGTAGGTTAATTTGATCAAATTGAAAAGAAATAATTTTCATAACTGAAACTATTTTGTTGAAATTATTACAAGATTGCTGTCTCCAGTAAGTTATTTGAAACGAGAACAATTAGCTCTCTACATATTTGATTGTAACTAAAAGAAAAAAGAGCAGTTCTCAATGCAGGTACTACTATGTCAAGAATTGTGCTTTACCTTGTTTACTATTTGGTGATAAATTCAAAATGACTGATAGGCTATGACTGAGGTTTTGCTGCAACTTTGGCAATTTTCTACTTGGTCATGGTTACTGATGCAAAAGTTTTACTTGATGGCAGTGTGTGAATAAACTAAAGTCTAAAATGTATTCATTGTTCCTGCAATTTCATGAAGTTGCAGAATTTGGCTTAACACTCATTATGCACTTGCTGGACCTGATGCTGTTTTGTTTTTTTATATTTCCAATCTGTTGGTTTTTTTGCTTCTTTTTGTTCGCTAAGCTTTTGAAATTATAAAAATTTTACAGGAGGAGACCATTCGTGAGGCCATTGAAGATGTTGGATTTCAAGCTGCATTGATTAAAGATGAGACAAATGAGAAGTCTACCCAAGTATGTCGAATACGCATTAACGGAATGACTTGTACTTCTTGCTCCTCCACTGTTGAAAAAGCTTTGCAGGCAATTCACGGTGTGCAAAAGGCCCAAGTGGCTTTAGCAACTGAAGAAGCAGAATGCCATTATGATCCAAAAATTGTCACTCACAATCAGCTAATGGAAGCAATAGAAGATGCTGGATTTGAAGCCATACTTGTTAGCACAGGAGAAGACATGAGCAAGATTGATCTTCAAGTTGATGGCGTAAGGACTGGTAATTCAATGAGAATGCTTGAAAATTCCATTCAAGCACTTCCAGGGGTTCAAGCTGTTGACATATCATCTGAGCTCAAAAAAATTTCGGTTTCGTACAAACCAGATATGACAGGACCAAGAAACTTTATCAAAGTGATTGAGTCAACTGGGAGTAGCAGGCGTTTCAAGGCAACTATATTTCCTGACGGAGAAGGAGGTCGAAGGGAGACTCATAGAAAAGAGGAAATCAATCAGTACTTTAGATCCTTCCTGTGGAGCTTGATTTTCACTATTCCTGTATTTTTAACCTCCATGATTTTTATGTATATCCCTGGAATTAAGCATGGATTGGACACAAAAGTAGTCAATATGCTAACAGTTGGTGAGATTATGAGGTGGGTGCTATCAACTCCAGTGCAATTCATAATAGGGCGTCGATTCTATGCTGGTTCCTACAAAGCATTGCGCCATGGTTCTGCCAATATGGATGTTTTAATTGCCTTGGGAACAAATGCAGCTTACTTTTATTCTGTCTACACAGTGTTAAGAGCTGCTACCTCTCCAAATTTTGAGGGTACAGATTTTTTTGAGACAAGTGCAATGCTTATCTCATTTATTCTACTTGGGAAGTATCTGGAGGTTCTAGCCAAGGGAAAGACATCTGAGGCTATTGCCAAGCTTATGAACCTTGCACCTGAGGCAGCAATATTGTTGACTTTGGATGAGGAGGGAAATGTGACAAGGGAAGAAGAAATTGATAGTCGATTGATACAAAAGAATGATATTATCAAAATTATTCCTGGTGCAAAAGTAGCTTCAGATGGTTTTGTTTTGTGGGGGCAAAGCCACATAAATGAAAGCATGATAACAGGAGAAGCACGACCAGTGGCAAAGAGGAAGGGTGACACGGTTATTGGAGGCACAGTGAATGAGAATGGAGTACTACATATTAAGGCAACAAAGGTTGGTTCAGAAAGTGCACTGGCACAGATTGTTCGGCTTGTTGAGTCTGCTCAGATGGCTAAAGCTCCTGTACAGAAGTTTGCTGACCGCATTTCCAAATATTTTGTGCCTCTGGTGAGAGAATAGAATATTGTTTTCATGTCCTCTTAGGCTTGTTTCATAAAGTTGTTTAAGTTAGATTATCATTTGTTTCACATGTTCAAGACTTTGCTAGCATCTCAGTTACTGTTGTCTTTCACAGGTGATCATTCTTTCACTTTCAACGTGGCTTGCCTGGTTTTTAGCTGGAAAGTTCCATGGCTACCCGGAATCATGGATACCATCTTCGATGGATAGTTTTGAGCTTGCACTTCAGTTTGGAATCTCTGTCATGGTCATAGCTTGTCCGTGTGCTCTAGGCCTTGCAACCCCTACTGCTGTTATGGTTGGTACCGGAGTTGGTGCATCTCAAGGCGTATTAATTAAAGGAGGTCAAGCATTGGAAGGTGCACATAAGGTTAGCGCATGCTTTTCTTCTTGCACTTTGCTAGTTTTCGTGAATTCAGCTACTTTATTGTTGATTTTGAAAAATCTGTTACTGCTTCAAGACCTTTTTCTATATGGACATATTAACATGCTGCAAAGCTTTGCCTTTAAAAACGAAAGAAATAGTCTAAAGTACCATTCTAACCAAAACAGTTGTAGATTCAGATTGTTTCTTTTCTTCAGAATATTGGGAAAGAAAGAAGATTCGAACTCATTATTTGAAGAATACTTTGCTAAGTTTTGTCTAACGGTGACATATAGTATCTTTAAGTACTAAATAGTCTAGTTAAGGTACCCTCAGGTAGTGATGTTTTCTTCTTACTTAGATGTGAGCCACTTGGTATTCTTATTTTGCTTCTTATTGTTCCATCGATATAGGTAAATTGCATCGTATTTGACAAGACGGGAACTCTTACAGTTGGAAAGCCAGTGGTTGTTAACACAAGACTCTTAAAAAATATGGTGCTTCATGAATTCTATGAGCTTGTTGCTGCAACTGAGGTAACACTTTTCACCATTGAAATCTGACAGGTTGAGAGAAGTTCTTTTTATAAAATAATCATGAATGCTATCAGCCTTCAAACCTTCTTGAGTGGATCTTACAAACTTCAAATGGACTGACTCAAACATTCTCTTATTATGAATGCTGATAATGTGGTACTGAATTGGTCAGGTAAACAGTGAGCATCCACTAGCCAAGGCCATTGTTGAGTATGCCAAGAAGTTCAGAGAAGATGAAGAGAACCCTGCTTGGCCAGAAGCACGAGACTTTGCCTCTGTAACGGGTCATGGAGTGAAAGCCGTTGTCAGGAACAGGGAAGTAATTGTGGGAAACAAGAGCTTGATGTTGGACTCCAACATTGCTATTCCAGCTGATGCTCAAGATATGCTAACAGAAACTGAAAGGATGGCACAAACTGGCATTTTAGTATCAATAGATGGGGAAGTGACCGGAGTTCTAGCCATATCTGATCCAGTGAAACCGGGTGCTCAGGAAGTTATTTCTATTCTCAAGTCTATGAATGTTAGAAGCATCATGGTGACAGGTGACAATTGGGGAACTGCAAGTTCCATTGCCAGGCAAATTGGAATTGAAACTGTTGTTGCAGAAGCCAAACCTGAACATAAAGCTGAGAAAGTAAAAGACTTGCAGGTAAATATATGATCATTGGTGGTTCATAAAAAAGTTGCCGGCATCTTTACTAAAACACCTTTTTTTTTTTTTTTCATTTTTCTTAATACAAGGCAGCAGGATATGTTGTGGCAATGGTAGGAGACGGCATTAATGACTCACCAGCACTTGTGGCAGCAGATGTTGGAATGGCAATTGGTGCTGGCACAGATATTGCTATAGAGGCAGCTGACATTGTTCTCATGAAGAGCAACTTAGAGGATGTGATCACTGCCATACACCTTTCAAGGAAAACCTTTTCCCGTATTCGTCTGAACTACATCTGGGCTTTGGGTTATAATATTCTTGGTATTCCAATAGCTGCTGGGGCTCTTTTTCCATCTACTGGATTTCGTTTACCTCCATGGATTGCTGGAGCTGCAATGGCTGCCTCTTCAGTTAGCGTCGTTTGCTGCTCCCTCTTGTTAAAGAATTACAAAAGACCCAAGAAGCTGGAAAACCTTGAGATAGGCGGAATAAAAATCGAGTGATGGATGATAAAGGTTCTAAATCCACTTTCTTATGTATATATTTAGGGTCGTGAAATTTGGCAAGCTATGATAAAGCTGTTTGGTAGTCAATCAGTGAATGCAATATATAAATAGAATGGTTTTAGGCTGGCTGGGAAATTTTGTACATAAAGTGGTGCTGTAATGATTTTTAGTATATTATTTGCTACAGTATAAATTAGACCTGAAGGAGAGCATAGAAATCATATGGCTGCAAATTCTTGGACTATGCAATATATAAATAGAGCATTGAAAAAGCTTGATTGTTATAACTACTCTTCACCTTATCTAACTCTGAGTCAGCTTATAGAGCAGATAGATACAAATTATTTATGGTCCAAATCGTGGCAAAACTCGTTGATAATAACCATGATGAAGCAGGAAAAACTGAGGACATGGAGAAACACCTAGGAGGTTTTGATAGTCTTGCTAGAGACATTCCGTGAATGGCCTACAACATGCCATCTGTCCTGGCAGGCAGCCGACGGAAGAAGTTAATCGGCGCTGGAGGCAACCTGTAGCGAAATCTTGGGTGTCTCATCACATAGAACCCTGCCAAAGCTGCTATCACTTGAAATGGTGTCACAAACAAAACTATGGCATCTATAAGGCAGAATGTAATGAAGATGGCAGTAGCACGTGGGTCTCGCCAGCTTAGGAGTGCTTGAAACCGCTCCCCCTGTGTTGCAACATCACCAATCACAGTCTGAATTCTACCAGCCATACTCCTCAACCGATCATACCTCATTCTAACCAGCTCTGAGCTCTTGCTTGTTGGAAACGTATCAAATTCCTCATCAAGCTCATCGGGGTGCACTGCCTCAGCTTGTGAAATCTTTGTGTTCATGTGAGGAGGATACCTTGGTCGATAGCGGAAGTTCCACATGTAAAGGAAAATTGTGGGCAAGATCAATTCTGGGAGGCAAGCAAGCATTAAAAAGAGCACATGGACCAGAACTGTTGTGACAGGATTCTTCCACATGCAGATATCACCAAACCATTTCCCAACAGCAAACAACCCTGAGAAAACTGTCATTAGTCGAAAGAAATTTGCTTTACTTTTACGCATGCTCCAAAGGTGTGAGTCCACATCAGACATATACTCAACTACCTCCTTCCGAAGTGGAGGCTCTGCTCGACCTAAACGAGCTGCCACTATAATCACAGCTTGGTGGCGTAGCATGTCAAGCTGCATCACACTGAAGGGCCTAACATAGTGCATTTTGGGTAGTAGTGGTCGTGAATATTGGTAAAGCATGTTTACGAAAGATGTACATGTAAATCGTATTGCCAAATGCAATTCCCCCATCTTCTTAACTCCAGTAGGATGAAGAACCAACAAGGGATAAGAATGTGTGTAAATGCGACCTGCTTCCAATGTAGAAATGCGAATCCTAACCTTCCCGATCTTCAGGTCCTTGTTGCCATTTGAACCCTTCTCTCCAAGCTGGCTGTTGTCAAATACACCAACTGTGAGAACAGTAGCAGGATCAAAAACTTCCCAAGTGTACTGTTCATTATATTTTGGGGACAGACTGTCTACAAGGGTGCGGGTGCGGACCCATTTATGACCATACTTTGCTACACAGTAGGTATCTGATGTTCCCCTTCCATCTCGTGTTTTCCATAGGATGGAGACCTACAGCATTTAAGATGCCAAGTTCCAAGACTCCAATTGGTGGCCTCCAGAGTTGCTTCGCTGTAGGGCGGAGATCACTGCTGTAGTGAGTAGACTCATCAAGCACATGATATCCTCCATCTAAACAAACACGAAGATTGATACGGCTAGAAAACTTCTCTTTCTTCAACTGATCTACATCCACAGCAACTGGCTTTTCAAGGTTGAACCAACGAGAATGAATCATTCGATCATCAGCACGCTTCTCTATGGTGTTCAATGGTATAATGACCCTCCCAATGATCTCATCTTTGCCAGGAGCCACACGATCCTCAACTGAAAGAACCAGATGATCTTCAAGGGGTTCAGCAGCAACAAACAGAAGATCCTCATTCCAGATGGCATTCAGAGTCCGAGCCTGACATGGCTTTGTTTTCAGAGCCTGGTGGCCTATTTGTGCCTTAACATACACATCGGGGAAACGGTTCTTCTCTGTTGGCACCAGGTCTTGCGCCTCGACAATATTAACTCGCACATACCACAATCGAGGTGAATGATAGACCTTTGAACGTAGCACTGTGAATGTAGCCGGTGTGCTATCAACAGGTGTAGCTGCATCAGAGTGCCATGCATCAGAAAAAGCCTCATCTGCTTGAGTTCCAATCCAGACAGAAAGCATCAGCTCACCCTTTATCTTCTCTCTTTTCTTATCCTCAAGCCGGTACCACTCTGGAGCCAGAGGACTATCCGGTGGGACACGTAATGGTACCTCACTGATATCAAACCTTATAATTCCAACAAAGTCATCTTTGACCAGATCCTTGTCCTTAATCACAACTTCTAGAACAGAAGCTTGCATTCGATCCCTTGAAAAGGCGAATACCTGGTTCCACTCTGGATTTTGCTTTTTCTCAAAGTGCTTTGTTATTCCTTTGTAGTTTCCAACCTTTACCTCCACAAATGGATCAATACTCCCTGTAACATCCATTGCAGGAAGTTCACGAGCTTTAACAACCCTTACGTAGAGAAAATGCATCCGCTCAACAAGATCATAAGTACTCGCAGTCTTGTCTCCATGGATAACACGCCCCCCAACAACTCTTCCCCCACCAAGAAAGGGACTGGTTTCTTTAAGTGCAAAATCTGCAGATTGTGCTGATTCTGCAGAGTACATGCGAACTAGCTTTGGAGGAGGTGGTTCGGGTTTCATCTCATCAGCAATGTACTTTGGTATGTGATGATGATGAACAGCTGGATCAGAAAAATGATGGTGATCATGTTTGTGTAGATTTGGGTTGGGAAGATGACGAAAGGTGTGTCTTGATTCAACTCTGTCTTTCATGACCGGGCCTTGAACTGTATGGGAATGCAAATGAGTCACATGGGGTTCGTTAGCAGGCAAAGAATCAACAGCAGGTGCTGGGATTGAGGACTTTATGGATGGATCGTCTGTAATATATACTTTTAAGCCGAGCTCTCCTCTGACACGTGAAAATATGGCACGCTTTTCCAAAGGGTATTGCAAGACAACAGCATCAGAGTAGGGAACAAATGAAGTCCCAGTTAGACAAACCTTCCCGAGAAACGATCTGGTGTTAGTACCTCTGATATAAGTGTAGACATAGGCATCAAGATTTAGATAATGGAGGATGGAAGGATCAGAGATGTTGAAGTTAAAGCTTTCATTCCAAACAGGGTTGAGATCCTTTTCCTTGATAGTGGTACGGAACTTCTGACCATCAAAGCAGAGCTCCACAAAGGCACTGGATGAACCTTGCGGATCTTTAGGCAAAAGATTGTGGGCACTGACCACATCAACCCCTAGCTTAAGGTTGCTCATCTTATGTGTTAGAAAGTGATCTTGTTTAAGGAAATTTGAAAACGCGCTGAAAAGAAAGACAGCTAAAGGTACCTGCAACAGGAATAAGAAATTATTAACTATTGACAATGAACATCCGTAACAGAAAGAAAAGCATTGCAGGGAAAAAAACAAAAATCCATTAAAAACTCATTGAATGTAGTCTTGAATGATACTTACGGATTACAATAGAAGGTCACTAATTATAAATGATTTAATCTTACCTTAGGCAATGGTCATATGTTTACAGGAACCTTCACTTTTCAGGGTAATGCAGGCACTGTTCACATAAGGAGAACATGCAGTAGCAAATGGAAATTGATCACAACAAGCAAAGGCACCCTTATAACAGTGCTTATCCTCGAACATGCAAGAAACCAATCAGATACAGTGAAACAGGGAGGGAGATTCATTCACAAATACAAGGAAACATGACACATCCAAATGAATTTTCAGCTTATAAAACGATTCTCCAATGAGTCGGTACTTCTAAAAAATGCACATCATCAAAGCTCCTCGTTGAAAAAGATCTAAATATGAATTATATATACAAAAAAAAGATGCTACCACTTTGCACATGACTCTGCACTCTTTAAGCTAAAGATCCTTATATCACGCTTAAAACACATGAGCTTTTGCTCATAATATACGCCATTAAATTGAAGTATAAGATCTCTACACTTTCTTCATCTCTCAACAACAAAAAGAAACAAAAAAGAAATTGTGAAGAAACAAAAGAACAAAAAGAAAATCTTCAACCGCTTTAATCTTTAAGTAAATGTAAATAAATATCTCAGCGCACAATGAAAACGAAACGATGTACTACTTAGAAGTTACTAATTAATATCCTTTGTTTTCTCGGCAACCAAACAGAGGTTAAAGGAAAGATAATTAAATGAAAATTTTATATAATATTAACAATAAAGATGCCGTTAAACGTGCACAACAGAGTAGAAAACTGAACAATGAAGTTGAGGAAAAAGAACAGAAAGCATCAGTTAAATTTTATTCAACGAAATTAATTTTTTATTTCTTTTCTCGTTAAATATAAACAAAAATATTGAATTTTCTTGATTAAAATCCACAATGTACTTCGAAAATAAGATCAAACGAAGCTAAAAATCGTAAAGCTAGTCTCAGCTGCTTTTGGGTTGGCCATTCAAACGCCATTACCAAAACAAAAGAAAAAACAATTGAAATTCACCTGCTCTGAGATGTGAGCTGAAACGTCTTCAAACTTGAAACATTTCTTAAAGAAATGGCAACCTCGCTCCTCTCCATGAATACACTTTGCATTTGAAATGCATTAAAGTTTCTGAGAAAAGTAGAAGAAAAAAGAAAAGATAAGAGTTATTGCAGGTTAACGCTAAGCTCGATAATCGAGGCGACAGATAGAGAAAGAAGAAAACAACAATGCAGCCATTTGACAACAGGAAAAAAAAAAAAGTTTCAAGTAGTCAAAACAGGATGTCGTTTTCGTTTCGGATCGTTTTTGACTAGTCTTACGTTAGGATTTTAGATTGTCAATCGGTTGAGGGTGTGTTAAGGTGTGCACCACCTCACTGTAATTATCATGAGGTGTGATCTACGGTGCGCCCATCTTTTATCATGTGGGGGTGATAAAAAGGAGATCTGTACCAGTTCTGTCTCCATGTCTACACCAGGGTAAAAAAAAAACGCTCCAATTTACTAATAATCCAGTTATAGACTTTGTACCGCTTGGATTCTGCGGTGTAATTAATTTTTTAACTGCTGTAAGTGGCTGCTTAAATGAAACATTAATTTTCATTCATTTAATGCATACTCACCTGATTGTTATAGTCAGTGTTTGTTGTAGTCAGTGTCATTAATTTTACCCATATCCAATAAAAAATTTAATTTTTTATTTAAAAATAAAAATAAATATTATATTATGATATAAAGTTGACGGTGGATATAATTTTAAATTTTTATTGAAAATAAAGATAAATAATATAGTAATCATCATGTACTTGTATCTTATATACATTTTTATATATTTAGTAAAGAAAATTTTTTATTAAATAATAGAAATTACTATTTAAATTAATTAAAATTAATATATTTTGATTAAAAAACATATTAATATATATTTTTATAAAAACTTATCTAAGTTTAGAAAATAAAAATTAAAAAAACTAAAAAATAAATTTTTATTTTTATTTTTTTAAGTTATAAGTATGGGGACTACTCATACCCATTAAATATTCATAAGAATAGAGATAAATTTAAAATATTATGGATATAGAGATAAGTATAATATAAAAATTCGAAAACGAAAATAAGAATAAGAAATATTGTACTCTACTAATATTTTATTCATTGATATCTCTATTTCTAATTGCAAATATCATTTTATAAAATTTAAATAAATACATAAATAATGTAATAATTTAAAAATTTATTTTACAAATATTATTTTAACATTTATCGTGTTCGTTATAATTTATAAGTCTTGAATTAAGTTTAATTTTTGAATTTTTTCTAAGACATTACATTACACAAAAATACCTTAACCTAAAAATGCTTTACAAATCTATTGATATTTGATATGCTATAGTTTTATAATTAAATCCTTTTGAGCTATTTAGCATGAAAATTAATATATATATATATATATATCAAATTATTATAATTAATACCAACATGGATACCTCAAATATTAAAAAATTAAAAAATTTGAAAAGAAAAACTCAAAAAATTTTCTTACATACTCACTTTTGATTCTTGGTTGAAATTAATATGAAAATGTCTGATAATATTAATAATAATATAATTATACTTTAAGATATGAAAATTTGTTATTGACAATTGTAATAATATATTATTTTAATTAACTATTATATGTTTTATATTCTAAACCTATACATGGTGTCAAAGTCCTCCCGAAACCTCCAAAATCAAATTTTTTGTTGAAATTGTCATCCACTAGTAATTGCAAGTTATCAGATACAAGAAGGAAGTTGAAAACTGAAAAAGAACGGATGTGCCTCGCTCCCTTTCATTTCCTAGCCATTAATAAGCGAAATGGTCAACTGCTCTGATTCAACTGCGGCTGTCGACGATATTAATGCGGCCAAGTGGCGGTTTCAGTGCTGGAGCTCACCGGTCGATCAGTTACCCTCCTGCACGTTTATTACTTTCACAAAAATAAATAAAAGACTACAGATTTAATCTGTTGGCCCCGTGATTAACGAACCCCAAAGATCACCATTGTCCATTATATCGTTCATATCATCAAACGGCTACGAGATTTACACGTGACGGTCTCGATGGTCTTTGGCGATATATAATATGATGATTATGATAAACATGGATTTCTGGGTTTTATGATCATATGGACCAACGTGTGCAGCCTTGCTCTCATATCGGGGCATTAATCAGATTTTCGTGACTGTCATGTAAAGTTTCTGGAAGAGAAAAGCAAAGACTACAAAACAGGTGCGTGAGACAAACGATTGCGTCCCCCTCTCTCTCTTCTCTCTTACCGTTATGCTATTGGTGAATTAGACAATTCTTTTTATATTGAACTCAGTAATATCATTACTCATGATTGAATTTTCTCTTCTAATACTATCAATTGATCTATGTGGGAAGAAATTAATCAACTGTTACAATCAATTACAATGTAAAACATCACTCGAAAAGTCATCCGACACCCAAAAACTGAAATAATGCTAAGAAATGACTAAGCAACTCCAAAGATATAAATAATTTACAGCTATTTAATATTATAAAATAATTATTTCAGTGAGGACGTCAATCTGGTAAGGATTATTATTACGTAAATGTCAATCTTCTAATTTTGTTAATAGAATTAAAAACTTTATCTAGTATTCAATAATCTTTTATGTAAGATTGGCTTATATGATATGGTTTTAAATTATTTTTCCTTTTTGTTAAGGTATAGTTTAACCAACATCTATACAATCAATTTACTTGGACATTCTTTTATATCCATAACATTAAAGTAGTAGAGATTGGAGGAAGGTTAAAGTGTTCACATGGTAATCCAACATAGATGTATTTTTTATTTGTTTTTATTTTTTTTTATTAGATAATTTTTGTGAAAAAAAGTCAATAGAAAGAAATGAGAAAATAATCCGTTTTCAATTGGTTTCAATTCGGATCGATCCAACATAAAAAATTTTTAAATCAAATTTAGATAATTTTTTTAAACGAGATTAGATTGAATACAGACTTAAAGTGTTTTGTCTCGTTTTGGATGTCCACGTAACACCTTTCTCCTTTTTTTTTTTTTTAAATCTTTTGTTTTTTTTTTTGGTTAATTTTTACTTTTAATTTTTATTTAGATAAATTATGTACTAAAAAAATCAATTGAGATAGTGATGACAAAATAATCTGTATCCAATAGGTTTCAATTCATCACGATTCAATTGATGCATTTTTTTTAATTTAAGATAATTAGGTTGAGATTTTTTTTTGTAAATAAAATTTGAATCAAAATAAGATTTTGAATGTTACGTTTCAGATTATGTTATATACAAAATATATATTTTATTATTTATTTAATTTTATGTTTATATATGTGTTTTATTAAAAAAAATCTAATATCTTAATTTAATAAACTTACATGCCACCTTATTTTACTTATTTTAAAATTTTTATTTATTAAATAAATTTTGTAAAAAAAAGTTAATGAATACAGAGATAATAAATAATTTATATCCAATGAATTTCATTTGTCACAATTTAATCGATATAATTTTTTCAAAAATAAAAATTGGGCTAAGTTTTGACTCTTGAACTACTTAAGTCAAATTGGAATCGAGTTTGGAGTGTTTTGCACTGACCTCATTAGGATATATTAAAAAAATATATTTAATTATTTATTTAATTATATTTATATATGTATTATATTAATAAAATAGTTTTACTAACTTATTTTAATAAAAATTATATTTATATATAATTAAATTATAATTTATATTAAAAAAAACTTATATCTAATATATATATATATTATATTACAGAATACATAGATACCTGATAAGGTATGCCACGTGGATACTTATGTGGATAACCTATATTTTTGACATGTAAGATAATAATTTAATTTAAATTTTTTATCAAATAATCCTATTCAATAATTATTTTATTTTTAAAAATATTTGAAAGTTTAAAAATTAGATTTATTTTTTATTTTAATTTAAATCAAATAAAATTTATCCTAAACTCACTTTTTCAAATAAATTTATAATAAAATCAATAATTTTGTTATTTCTTTTTTAAAATGAACTATTAAACTATCTATGTATCTATTTTTAAATTTTTAAAAATATATAATTTAAAATTATCTCTAACAATCTAGATATATGATCTATTTTTAAATATATATAATTTAAATATATATTTAACAATCTAAATATATCTCTTTTAAATTTAAAAATTTAAAAACATAAATTTATTTTTATAAATTTCCTAATAAAATTTAAAAAATCAAATATCATTTATTTCATGAATTAATGGATGCTATCTCCGACCTCGATGAAATATTCTTGTACTAAATTTCT